CGAGTCAAATTAAAATCGCGAGTCAAATTAGAATTGCTCCAATGCAGAACTAAAAAAATAATTGAGTGCGCACAAACGTATCTATTTTCTATAATTTCTGATATTATTTCTGGTATCGGTTGTGAATTCAAGTGACATTATCATTAAAACATCTACCTAACCTGGTATATTGCCAACAAAATATGGCACTGAAATTGTTCTATATGTTTTGGTCTTACCTTCAGATATGAAGATCCCACACTTTTACCTTAACACTATTCTAAAATTCTTCTTGCTTCAAATCTTGAGAAGAGTGGCCAGGGCGAAAGAGCGCCGAACCAACAAAAAGCTGAGAGAAGAAGCAGGCCTATCTGCAACTGACCTAACTCACCCATGTCACGTATGCGGCCGGCTTTTTAAAGCGAGGATTGGACTTTACAGCCATCTTCGAGTCCATAGGAAATGAGAAATGTGCTAATCTTCGAGTCCATAGGACATGAGAAATGTGCTCATCTTCGAGTCCATAGGAAATGAGAAATGTGCTCATCTTCCATCACGAAGGAGAAGCTATATATTCTTAAAATTCACATTTACCTTCACATTTAAATTTTTATTAACATTTATATTCATATTGACATTTACCTTCCCATGTGTCTTTACTTTTACATTTACAGTCACATGTAAATTTACATATACAACTACCTGCCATCACATTCACATTAACCTTAATAATCTTATTTGTCTTCACATTTACATTCACATAGCATTCACATATCATTCACATTTACATAATCATTTAAACATGCACATTTACATTCACATTTATCCTTACGTTAACTATCACAGTTACATTCACATTTAGATTCGCACTTTTCTTTACATGAACAAACACATTTACGGTAACCTTCACATTGAACTTAATATCAACATTGACCTTTACCTTCGCATTCACCTTCACCTATCCAATTGTCTGTTGAACTGTTAGGGGGCGAGCATTTATTTCGTCCTAAGCTAGACCTCTTTCAGATCGGCATGGGGGGGGGGGGGACGGCAGCGGGCAGGGTTTAAACTTGGGACCATTGAGACGTCCCTCTGGAGGGCATAACACCACAAGGACACGACAACGAAGTCACGCCCCAGTGACCCTCCCAGAGGAAGATCTCAATCACCTATCCAATTGTCTGTTGAACTGTTAGGGGCGAGCATTTATTTCGTCCTAAGCTAGACCTCTTTCAGATCGGCATGGGGGGGGGGGGGGCGGCAGCGGGCATGGTTTAAACTTGGGACCATTGAGACGTCCCTCTGGAGGGCATAACACCACAAGGACACGACAACGAAGTCACGCCCCAGTGACCCTCCCAGAGGAAGATCTCAATCAATGCGAATGCAGTTTGAAATGCCGATGTTGACGCTATTGTTTGCTGTTGTGTAGTGTAATGACTATGAACATCTCATCCAGTTTACGAAAATTTGAAATAAGCCTATGGTGGACAACTCAGCGACAAGAAGACAATTGTAATAGCACAAAATCTGATGATGAATCTCTACTAAAAATAGAACATTTACGCCTTCACTGTACACAGCTTCCTTCCCAGCTTGCCTAAGCAGAAGTCTGTCTCTCTAGCAACAGTTCATCCATGTTATGCGCAGAATAGTGCATGGGTGCGCACATTAAGACTCACTGCAGGGCATTGTTATTAGAGTACATTTCATTTGTAGGTCATTGGTTAATATGTATGACTAAATGCATGACGCCTATGGTGTTTATATTTATATATTCATTATAAGACATTAGTAAGGACAGGTTCACATCTAACTTCACATTCACTTTCAGCTATCCTTTTGTCTGTGGACCGCTGGGGCAATACATAAGATCCGTCAACCTTCTATCTCCATTCTTCTCTGTCATTTGTCTTTGATAGAATTTCATTCTGATGTTTTTTCTGAAAACATTGAAAGCAGCCTTTTTACCTGCCTAAGTAGACCACTTCAGGGGCCGATTTTGAGTTTGTGTTTCCACACAAACTGTCTCTGTAACTTTGTCTTTACGAGACATTGCTACGGCGATGTCAATAATAGTAGCGGTTTTGTCTTTTTTTTTTTATCAATAAACAGCAGATTAATTAAATTAAAATCTACCTTTTGTTATTATGACTATTGTTATTATATTTAAGTTTGATATGTCAACTATGTCTGGTTTCGAAAGGTATTTATAAAAATGTTACCAAAGGGAGACAACCAGACTTATACTTATTACTAATGTAATTTCGAAGTTGTCTTTCTTTGCAATATTCTTTGTTACTTACAAGTAAATAATTTTCTTTCACAGTTGGTTCAATCTGCCAACATCGTGTCCTCAAAACTACTGATATATTGTCTCTTTAGGTGATTTCTGTTGTGTATAACAATCTATAAATATTAATAAGTATGCTTGATGTCAGGTACCCATTAGAGCTGGGTGAACTCAGAGGCGCCCGAGAGAGAGAGAGAGAGAGAAAGAAAGAAAGAGAAAGAGAGAGAGAGAGAGAGATTAATGAAAGAAATAGAAAGAGAGAGAGAGAGAAAGAGAACGAGAAGGAAAGTGTAATAAATAGAAAGAAAGAAAAAAATTTTAATAAAAGTGTGAAATAGAGAGAGAGAGACAGACAGACAAACGGACAGACAGACAGACAGAAGCAGAAGAAGGGAAAGAGAAAGAGTTGCAGTTCTTCGTGGCACCACTAAAACCAAAATGTATCCCAGACGTCAGCTTTCTCTAGACTCATTACTTTAAGTTCATCAAGATTAATTGAATGCAACATTTAGCTAGGGTGGTGACTTGTAGGGTGGTGACTTGTAGGGTGGAGACTTGTAGGGTGGTGCCTTGTAGGGTGGTGCCTTGTAGGGTGGTGCCTTGTTGGGTGGTGACCTTTAGAGCGGTGACTTGGTTGGTGTCAGGTTCTTGTGTTCTTGTACTTATCAAACTATTATTAGATATTTCAAATGTGAATATTTATTTAAAATTAATATTATTTCAATGTGTGTTATTGTTTTTTTTTTCTGAACTTGTAATATTTTGACCCAAGTTCAGCCTGACAAGCACACCATACACATACAGTTGTATATTAAATTAATAAACTAAGTTTATGATGTTAAATAACAATAAAAATTTATTCCAGTGCTATATTTACAAATGAACTGATGTATGATGAATGATAATAATAGTATCAATATCAATAGATATATGTGTAATAATATGTAATCTAAAATGATCCAGTTATTCTCTTTGCGACATATAAATGATCATTATTTGAACAATATCATTACCTTAATATATTCATTACAAGTTGTTCAAATAGACTTCCAACACAACAACTCGTAATCCACACAGATCTAGCCTCTAGATCCGATACTGTTCACTGACGACAATTCTAAAAGTTTATAGTTCATACTATAACATCAGGTCTGACCAAGGCAACCCGCAGTCTGGAATCTTGAACCTCAGACTCATGAAAAACCAACTTGAACACCAGACGAACAACTGAGATTAGTGTAATGAAGACCTCAGTCCTGTAGACTGTAGACCTAAAGTTGTACTCTCAATATAGAAAATTGAGACTGGATAAACAAGTCTTGACACCAAGCCTTTACACTGAGTCTAACACATAGACTTGACACCAAGCTAAGATTACTACTTAGACTTGACGCTAAAACTTGAAATAGAGTCTTGAATTGAAACTACGACCAAAACTTAGACTTGTCGCTAAAACCCCTAAACAGGGGTCAAGATAATTCAACAAGAAAATGTCCAAGGCAAGTGTTAAGGCTATCCAGTAACAATAACCAAGGAGAAATTCAAGAGTTCTCAAGACACGTCTATCTGTACCAACGTACAAAACAATGGAGAGACTGTACTAGACGATAAATGGCACACACACCTAACTTTACGTCACTAGAAGTTGTGACAAGCAACAAAAGCTCAGTCCCCTAGTCTACAAAGTAAAATATTAATAGTGTAATGACGTCATCAATATAGTGATCAACGCCGCACTATCAATTAGAGAAATAATTCTACTATACAGTTACATAGATAACTGCGACAGTTGGTGGCTTGTTGGGTTGTGACTTGTAAGGTGGTGACTTGTAGGTTGTTGATTTGCTAAATGTTGACTTATAGGGTGGTAACTTGTAAGGTGGTGACTTATTGGGTGGTGACTTTTAAAGTGGTGACTTGTAGGGTGGTAACTTTTAGGGTGGTGACTTGTTGGGTGTTAACTTGTTGGGTGGTGACTTGTACGGTGGTGACTTGTTGGGTGGTCACTTGTAGGTTGGTAATTTGTAGGGTATTGACTTGTACGAGGGAGGAACACCAACCAATCAAAACTACAAACAGCCACCACCTTAAGCTACATTATCCTAGTAACGGCCTTTTCACAAGTAGAGAAAGGTCGTTCCTTATGTGTAGTGGCCGCTCTTCTGTACTTACCCCCAGAATCATCATCATCATCATCATCAAACTCCATACAAGTGAGGGCTTGAGAGACTCAAATCCTCTGTTGCAAAAGCCCTGGACAGAAACGCTAGATATTTGGCATTTGGTCTCGCAGAACTGAGCACATTTACAAGATGTTATTTTTCAGCATACTCTACGCCAGTGGTTCCCAAACTGTTTCTTTGACGGAACTCTTAGCATTTAGCGGAACACTTTGTTTATATTTTTTTTTCAGAGAACTTTATTCACGTGGCGGCCTACTAGTTAGTCACACAGATTAAAAACTAAAAATATCTAGGTGTAATAATAAATCAAAAGTTATGGGATCCCATATTGAGGAAACTATTAAAAAATCAAACAAAACTTTTGGGTTTATTAAAAGACATTTTTAGAAATAAACAAGAACATAAAAATGCTATTTAAGAAAACATGGAAATGAGTCTACGAGACAAATAAGTTTGGGAACCACTGATCTAGACTTAGTAGATATAGACTTAGAATGACTAAAAGTATAAGGAAAGGTTTCAAATATATTAATTGTTCGATATCTGTTTCCGTAGTGTAGTTGTTATCACATCTGCATAACACGCAGAATATCCTGGGTTCGAAACACAGTTGAATTTTTTTTTTTTTTTAGTTAATAAATATGTCTAAATTTTGTTGTGAGTCATATCCTGTAAAATAGATATGCATTTTTTTATGATTTATATTACAGCCTAATATGCTCTATCCTCTATCATTGTCTAGATCTGTCCATCTTTCTCTAGGTGGACCACTTCGGGGGCCGATTTTAAATTTATGTGTCCACACAAACTCTCTTTGTAACCTTGTTAATATTGTGTAAGATGTGTCATAAAAGTATTCAATGTATGATGCATGTCTAAAGTTGCCTATGTTGGTATATACCGAAATATTTCTATACTTCAGGGTTCAGGAATGAAGAAAAATACACAAGATTTTTAACCTGGCTAGATAATGTAAAGGGATGTAATTAAAAATTTTTTTTTTTTTTAAATTTAAAAAAAAAATTATTTTACGTGAATATATATAACAAAGAAATATATTTCCTATTAAAAGTTATTGAAAATATTGAACCTCATAAGGTTAAGCCGTATTTCACAATTGCCAGTCAGATAATTAACGTATACAAACATTTATTGTTTTTTTGTTTTTTTAATTAAAAAGGTGAATGATTTTATGAATTAGAAGGATAAATAGATGTATATTTATATAGATAGATATAGATATATAGGTTTATGGTATATAGATACAGATAGATAGATAATAATAATAATAAAATAATAATAATAATAATAATAATAATCTTTATTGTCCGTATGGAAATTTGTCTTACAATTTGTGCATTACACCAGATAGATAGATAATTAGATAGATTGATACATAGATAGATTTATTCACTGGTTGATGGAATGACTGACTGACATGACTTGACATGACCTGACATTACTTGACATGACTTGACATGACTTAACATGACTTGACATGACTCGACTTGACATGACTTGACATAACTTGACATAACTTGACAATACGACATGACTTGACAGACAGATAGACTGACAAACCAACAGACAAATAGATAGATAGATAAATAGATAGATAGATAGGGCTTGTCTGAGTCAAATGACTAATGAGAAATACAGTATTTCCCCTGGGCATTCAGTCCCAGCTGCGACATGTATATTGCTACATTCAGCGATGACATGTAAGTGCGGAGTTATTCCCATTAGATAAGTATTAAGAAGGATTTTAAAAATATTTGCTTGTTTTTTTATATGACCCCTGGTGTTCTAGGTCTTTAGCGCAATGAGCTCCTTTGTTTGCTGTGACTATGTGTGCATGTGTACATTGGGGCTCGACCAGAGCAGACGTCTGCTGGGTTTAAAAGATCAATGTCAGTTTCCGGGAAACATTTCACGTGAGTTTATATAAAAGCATGCAGCTTATGAAAAAATATGCATTGATCTAAACACCAGTTTTATTTTATAGTTAAAGAGGGTTAAAAATGGACTAAGGCCACGACATTCTAATGGCAGGCCATAATAGAATACTGCGTATTACATTATCTCGGAGTGTCCAAAACTTTATTGGCACTTATATATAGGCCTTTGTTTGGTTCATCTTAACTCAAACAGTTTCAAAGCGTATATGCAAGTTTCACCAGCCCTTGCGGCTATACAGAACCAATGGAGACAATTACCCGGTATTGACATCTTCATAATAGGCTGTGGCACAATGGTGGATACCCTGTCATACAGGTGTCTTTTGTGACATTATCGCTGTCACCTTGTGATGTTGTAAAGCTCACCTGTTTCTATGACCCATGGCTTACGTTGGTGTCGTGTGAACAGAACAACGACCTAATACCTTTGCTTTCCCAAACTAAAGATCAGGCACACATTAGAGTTGGGTGGAATAAGAGGCGTTCTAAAATCTGAATCCCAAGATCCCTCGGTTAGGAATCCAAGCGCTTTACCACTCAGCCACAACGACCTACATCCCTAACTTATGTTCAAATACATCCGCTAACTAAACAGTAAATATTCATATTTTCTATTTAGTTAAAAAAAAAAGCCAAATGGTTGTATATATTTACTTTCAACAGTGTGCACCGTATGTATAATGTAACTTCTAACTTCCCTTATACTGATTAGAAACAACTAATATCGGAGGTGGGCGTTGTTATGAATATATAATAATAAATTGAGTCGAAAACCATGTCAGCAAAGTATGACTTTATTACACTGATTGACTACACAACATCCGTCTATTTCATTTTGTGAACACATCCCTACAACTAGTTACAAGCACTTGTAAACACAAGAACACAAGAACAACAACCGATACAGTACATCATTCTCTATAGGAAGAGCAAGCAACTTGAACTTTCCTGCTATTGATTGGAAATCGGAGGTGGGGGTCCACGTAAACAAAACAGTATGTGGCGGATTAACCAAAAGAGGCATGAAGCCCCCCAAAATAGTCGTGAACCCCCCATTACAGATGAATAAGACCCCAGCCCCGACAAGTCTGAGCTCTTTCTCTCTTTGTCTCTCTATCTCTCTCTCTTAATCTTTTTTCTCTCTCTTTCTTTCTTTCTTTCTCTCTTTCTCTCTTTTTGTCTCTATCTATCTCTTTCTTTCCCTCTCCTTCTCTCCCTTTTTGTCTCTATCTATCTCTTTCTTTCCCTCTCCTTCTCTCCCTTTTTGTCTCTATCTATCTCTTTCTTTCCCTCTCCTTCTCTCTCTCTTTTTCTCTCTCTCACGATCTCTCTCTCTCTTACTTTTTCCTCTCATTCTCTCTCTCTCTCTCTCTCTCTATTACTCAAATGGACATAAATACAGTTTTAAATATTAACCAGTTCTAATTCCCAGCAAGTCTCTATGAACCATTGGCAACCAGAATAATAATACCTATTTATTTTTGGTACAATTATGATTTTTTTTTCAAATTTAGAGCCATACAAATCAATACGAAAAAAAAAAAGAATTGAGACTCTTTACATTTCTAAATGAAACAATATAATATTAAGTTTTCGTTGATCTAAATCAATTCATTAGAACCATCGTTGACTCATGTAATGTAGTTTCTCGACTAAAAAAATGGATTGTAGGTTCACTCTGGACCTATCTAAGACACCCCCCTCTCCTTTTTCCTTTTTGTTTCAAGTGCATGCAGATGTTGCAGTGTTAGATCAATGACAATCCTTGAGTTCGCTTCCAGCACGACATTGGTTTTGTTTTAGCGGCATCGATCCCGCAGCAGACGTAATTCCGGCCTTTTCCATTCTCTACCTGCGACACCTACTTCCGGAAGCCTCGTTTTGAATAAATTTTACCGGCAAGGATCGTTAATAGAGCCTTTTTTCCTGAATATAAATACATTTATATATGTATATATATTTATTTATATTGACAAGCTTCTTTCGTATGTTTATGTATATTTAAAATTAATCAAGGCCGAGTCAATATAATTCTTGACTGAAATATAAATGAATGAGATAGATATGACGTCATTGCTGTATCACAAGTAGATGTATAAGCACCATCAAAATTTGATGTATTAGCACAATTGAAAGTAGATGTATTAGAATTATCACAGGTAGATGTATTAGCACCATTGAAAGTAGATGTATTAGCACCATTGCAGAGCAGTGAGATTCATAACAAACGAATATTCACATTTGACTAGAGTAACACCTTTAGTAAAATCACTAAATTTAGAAAGCCTACAGGACAGAAGACTCAAAAGTAAAGTAGCAATTACACATAAAACATTGAACCATAATCTTCAAATCCAAAAACAAAATTTAATAAAATACTCAGAAAGATACAGAGATAAAGGCACATTCCTCGTCCCATGTTCTAGGACAAATTTGTACAAATGCTCCTTCTTCCCTAGTGATATTAGAGCATGGAATGCGTTGCCTGAGCTAGCCAGGAAAACCAGTGACTTGACAGAAATTAAAAAGTCATTAGGTAAACAAATCTAGAACCTTTAGGTTTGAAGGGTTTGTCTGCATTAATGTTTTATGTCAGTCAAGCAAACGATTTACTTACTGAAATAAATTTTAGACTAAAATTAAAATTCTACTCAGATAAAAAAAATCTATTAAAATAATTCAATTTACTAAGAGTCTAAGTCTAATGAAGTGGGCTATAGTTCTTCCATCTTCTCGATCTCTTGTTCTATAATGCTAGGACAAATTTATATAAATGCTCCTTGTTCCCAAGTGCTATTAGTGCTTGGAATGGGTTGCCTGAGTCAGCCAGGAAAACCAGTGACTTGACAGAAATTTTACTCATCAGTTAAAATGCATGACTAGATTAACCTAGAGACACGCCTAGAGCGTAATTATCTTTTTTCGAAGTAACATTTGAATATTATAAGATAAGATAAAAAAAGATATAATGAAATAATGGAGATAAGTAACGAAGTACAGCTTCTAATATTTTGTTTGCTTTGATAGTCTGGAAACCACATTAATCTAGAGAGATATAATGAGGCGCTTCAATATTTCTCAATCTTTGGACTAAAAGTAAATAACTATAAAATTCCTGTCATGTAGTTTCATTAACTCTTTCTCTCCTAACAGACGATAGCAACGTTGATTCCAACAGAATGTGGTAAATAATTACGGAGAGAAAGAGTTAAAAAAACACAAAGGAGATTTGAGAACGTGACAGACATAAGCCAGACATGAAACATAAAGACAATCATCTAAAAATGTTACAAATAATGTTCAGCTGTTTAGCGAGAAAGTTCAAAACCTTGGACTTTTTTTGAAAGTGAAGAACGCCACAACTTAAAGAAAGAAGTCCAGGGAGTGCAAGGACATATGGACTCAATATGGAGTGATCAGGTCACTAAGGTACAAGTCCATTTCATTGTTCTAGAGCAAGGGTTCTCAGCCTGTGGGTCGCGACCCCTTGAGGGGGTCGATTGACGATTTGTCAGGGGTCGCCGAAGACCATCGAAAATATGGTTTGTATTTAGTGTATTCTTCTATTGCTGTGTATGTTATGTGGGGGGGGGGGGGGGGGTTGCGGAAGAGTGGGGGATAGTAAAAAGGGGTCACCTATCGTAAACAAACAACATTTAG